GGGGTCCTTTCCCGGGGGTAAAGCCGGCCGGGGCGTGATGCTGACCACTCACCCCCATCTAGTGCCGAGGTCAAGGAAGAGAGGAGCTATACCTCCACTCACCCCAAGCGCCTACATGGCGTATAGTGGGACAAGCTTTACTTTATATGCTATTACTAAGGATGTATTGAGACTGTTTCGTGTAGAGGTGTCCCTAGTAATCTAATATTAAGCGTAGTTTGCTTTGAACAAAACTGGGTTATGTCTTTAAAATGCAGTGACCATTTACCATCTGAAACATCCATGATGTTTTAATGTAATTATACTGTTTACTGATGAACGCTAATAGCAAAGTTAATTTTTTGGACATACGAAATTCTATACTTCTTTAATTAACTTTAATTACTTCGGTCTATTTTACTTTCCGTTATGTTTCTGCTGGATCTAGTAAGATCCCCATTTGAATAGGATAATCGCTGGGACCCCCCGCATTCGGTCTGGACTCGATGGGTAACAGATAAATCCGTTCTCCTGCCGGACATTCGGTCAGTAGTGACACAGTTTCCTTTGTTTTGTTTTGTCAGGGAACAGAAATGTAGAGGAATAATAACACGACTTTTTGTATTAAGCCGGCTACACACGTACAGGTATACCTGCACGTGTGTAGCCGGCTTTAGAATATTACAATTTTTTGAGGGGCTTCACCCCACAGCGTGACGTGCTCTAACCATGCGCCCAGGTTGGCGGGCAGGCCGTGGAGTAGCTACTGCGCTGAGTGTTTCAGTCATCGTGTGTGTGTGCCACGGAACAGTCTGCACGCCACAGTTGGTCGCGACTCCACCCGCGGTCTCCTCGCGTGCTCTTCAGGTAGGGTGCGACCAGTATATGCGCGATCAAATGACGCATTTATTCGGGTGTAATTGTTGATCGTATCACGTCACGTAAAGCCAGATCCTCTCGCATGTGAACTTGGTGTGTGTTTTCTTAAAATAACCATACATTATATGTCGTATATTCTAGTGGATCATGATACAGAATATTGAGTTGTAATAAATTGGCAATGCGGTGTTGTAATGTTTTGGCACAAAACTTTTCCAGTATGAAATACAAAAATAAGAGAACACACACGATTTGGATTGCCATGAACGACATTTATTTACGTCCGCTCAGATTTTGAAATAGATGTCCATAGGCCTACTATAGGATAAACCTTTCGTGCTACTCACAAGTTATATGTAATAATGATGTATTTAACCGTGTGGAGGAAATGCGAACCCCTTCATTGGCAGTGCAGTGGGTTTGATCGCGTAATATACATTTTTATAATCACATTGAAATAATTTACGTTGAAGGGTTTGCTACGTCAAAGTGCGTGTGTACTTAGACAACCCCCAATTACTGTGACAGTACACAAGGGAATTCCACTTAGACTCATTATAGTCTCTCGCAGTTTCAGTAGGAGTGAAATGAATATAAAAAGCTTTGTCACTAAAACAAAACCATAAACGATATTCGATTTAAAAGGGTTGATGTATATCGACGCATCCATGCAATTTGATAATCTGTAGTGGTAGAATATTGTCGAGGTACATTTTTAATAATACTTTCGGTACATATATTTGACCATGCATCAAAGTAAAATGGCATTTAGAAATTACAGTGACATTCTTCACGGCCTCAACATTTAAAGTTTGTTTATTTAATTTGTTACCCTCGAACATGTGAAGTGTGCGTCATAGCCGAACTCTGACATAATGAGCTGCGCAAAACACGCTTTTTTTGCAACAAGTAAGAAAGCTGTTGTTGAAATAAACTACAGCATTAATATATAGATCTGGTGAAACATGTATGACATTGCTTTGAACTAGGGGGAACTTACAGTGAACTATGCGAATTTTACGAGATAGGGCGTTTCCTGCTAAGCGGTAATAGGCCTTTATTCTTGAATAGAAAAACCTACAGAAGAACAAAATGTCATAAGAAATAGCCGATTTAGTTTCTCATTGTTTTATGTCATTACAAATGCATTTAAATGTATGTTGTTCGTGAGTCGAATGTAAACGTGTAGGCCACATTTAGACCTACCAGCTTCATATTAGGAACAACTGATTATGTGCGTGCACCTGTGCGTATGCATGTACGCACTTATGATTGTTTGAAACACAGGTGATGTCTTGAATATGGCAGTGAATTAAGAATTAAAGAGAATAAGGAAAGAAACATTTTCAAATTGAAGCTTAATGGACATCTATAAGGAGAGAGCGTACAGAAAGATGACTCTTGACATTTAATAACGACACACGTAATTGTCTTGGTGTCTGCTTTTAGTGTATCGTATCAACTGTGGTGAACAGTACACACTCATAGATTAACCGGCAGTAGTGAAATGTTCCGGAGCATTTGTTATACAGGATGCGCCATTTAAGACGCAGCACAATAGTAATTACCACGGAACAAAATTAAAATCTGGAGAACGTCCGCCCCCTTGTAATAGATCTCCCGGTGACAACAGAGTCAAGGTCACACTGCTTAATAGGCCGCCGCCCACATAGTGTATTTGTGAGCAGAACGTGTTTATTGTTTAATATTACTTAATTATTTATAACTTAGTTTGCTGCTCGTGAAGCATTTAACTGTATATCCTGACAAGGTGGTAGGTACCGATGAAGACAAAATTTCGGGACATGGGAGGTGTTTGACTGTGCCAAGGTCTCATCGAGCGGCGAAACAGCTGAAATTACGACCGTTAAAGCCATTGGTTTTGTCGTTTTGTGCATGGAAGTGTTTGTGTGTGGCCAAGTAATTCGGGTTGCGTTTTGAACGGAACATCGTGTATTGAATTTGATAATGAGACTTGATCTGTTGATGGACCCCCTCAGATAAAGTTCACCCTTGCGCTTGAAGATGGAGATGGAGCCAATTTCCGATAAATAGCAGTTTAAGAATAAACTTAGAACACGGAAAATTTGTAAGATTGTCAATCTGCGCCTTTGTCAGAAATGAACGAACTACACCTACTTGTTATAACTGTTACGCGCAATCTCTTCCCGTCCAACCCAACCTATCACAGCCTTAATTTCCGGTTATTTGGGTTCAAAATAATTCACTTTGTTGTATCACGTGTATGACGAGTGGAAGGAGGTCACCATCTCTTATTTCCATATCCTTTCCAATTCATTGTTCATTCGAGGGTATAAGCCGATTTTTGGAAATTGAAATTGTTGTTAAATAAACAACAATAATAAATAGGAAATACTCTACATGTGATTGGTGAAAAGAACGTTTGCTGGGATTTATTGCAAACTGAACGTACCGGTATGCATTTAGTAATTCTTCGCGGTTTTATACAATAACCTTATTCCGACTGTGTTTCTTACATCGATCTGTGGCCACTTAGACCTACCGAACACAAAGTAGGTTTGCGAACCGCCCATCTGTGACGTTTGTTAAGTTGATTGGTTGAATGTTGCTGATTGTCAAGCTGACGACTTGAGCCGTTGCACCAGTGAAACGGACATATATTCATATTTTTGTCCGTGTCGATCATATTTCTTGTTATCCGTATTTTCGTCAGTTACTTTTCATGTGTCATGTTGCCTTAGAATTATATATCATGTTCCGGTGTGTCTTTTTTATTATATTTTGCGGTACCTGGTCATGGTGATGAAAGCAGTGG